TTTCCTAAAATGCTGAATTGTTTGAAGTCTATAATGTGTAGATCTGTCTACTTGACTTATTGTAGGAAATCACATCAGCAATTTTACTGGGTGCTGGGCAACTACATTTGAATGTTTCCATTTCATTGCCCACCCAGTGGCAATAATTCCTTTTGCTCATATTTTCTTTAATGCTCAACAATTGGATTTGAATTAACTAAACCTTGAAACACACCTTTAAGATAAAAACTTATGGTTTTAAAATGTCTGCTAAGCTTTGAGTTCAAATCTTCTAAATTTATATTTATTGGATGACTTGTTCCACATCTAGTGAAATGGCAGATAGGACTTTTTTCATATCCAACAGTTATTTTTGGTCTGGCATATAATTTAGGTCCACTTTTCCTTGCTCTTTACTTAGTGACATGTTTCTGGCCAGAATTATTCAAATAATTGTCTTAATTCTTTGCTTTGTAGGTTTAGACTTTCATTTGACATACAGAAGAACTTTAAACAAAGAACCTTCTAAAAAGCTTTTCAAACTAGAAGGGAGTTACTTATTTCACTCTATCTAAACAGGGACTATGTGAGATGAAACAATTAACGACAAGCTGTCAAAGTGAAACTTTACTTTTCAGTTAAATCTAGTAACAGCTAGTGGATATAAAGTAGATGTTATTTGTCATATATGTGGGATTTGTTTTAAAACAGCAGAATATCTTTACTTAAAGGACAACTATAACTGAACAACAATAAAAAAATCGATTAAGGTTTTGCTATGCTGCCTTGTGTTTTAGCATTAGTCATTTGTAAATTGGGAACTTAAATAACTTAAAGACAAATTGAAAAATAGCCATGTGACAATATCATGCAATCAGAATGGATTGAGATCTCCATTAATACTTTGGAGAAAATTCAGATAATCCAACCAGTTATTTCTGACATGTTATTTTTGAGTGAAATATACTGGAATTTTTCAATAAATGTGATACTGTATTATAATTAATGAAGGTAAATAATCTACTAATAGTTTATATTTAATGTAATATTAATTCTATAGGGAATAAAAGTTTTTGTAAGTTTGTATACTTTGGCATATAATTTTATGTATTAAATTTAAATTGGCATGTGGCTTTTTTAAAAAACAGTTTAATTGCTTTAACCTATAATTTATATATATACTAACTGAAACTGAACTCAACTTCTTATCTAACATTTAAAAATTTCCAAGAATTGTGGTGGGGGGTAGGCAGAGACAAATGTATTTGAAAAAATAAATAAAAAAAAATCTACTCGGATTAAAGCTTTGAGCCTTGAAAAAAAAATTCCAAGAATTATACAAAAGCACATAACATTGCTTAATAATGATTCTGTTTACTAAAAAAAGTTTATAATCACCAGTCTGAACTCTGAGTGATACAGTAAGCCATATAAGTAATTTCACATTTAGTTGCCCAGAATTTCAGGGTTCTTAAAGAACTGAAGAGTTAATGTTTATACCTAGAATCATGAACTTTGAGTTAAAGCATTGCTAGTATCTCCTTGTTAAGAGAAAACCTTGAAAAATCATAGGTCTTGAAATTGAAATCTCTGCAATGCATGTATCAAAGCTTTAGTCTAGAAAGGACCATCTATGATCACAATTCTGAGTCAGTAATTCTGACATTTCCAGACTCTCCCTTCACTAGAAACTAAACTTGGAAAAGTGCCATTTTTTTGTATAATACAAGGCATATTAAATTGCTCCTAGATTTCATTTTTTTCTTGTATCTTATCACCGTGAGCACAGAGAGGTATCATTTTAGTAAACAAGGAAGAGGTAGAAGAAAAAGAAGAGACACTAAAAACTTGCTTTTCAGCTCTGATGCATGTGGCTCAGTTATTTGGAGTATTGTCCCATAAACACAAAGTTTTTAGGTTTGATCTCAGTCAGGGCTCATATGAAAGGAAACCAAATGATGTTTTTCTCTCTCACATTGATGTTTCTCTCCTTCCCTTCCCCTCTCTCTAAAGTCAGTAAGCATGCCCTTGGGTGGGGATAAAAACAAAGAAACAAAAAAACCTGGCTTTTCAAGAGAATGAATTACCTGTCCCCCTTTCTGTAAACTGTCAAGATTATAATTTGTATGTCTGTTCTACAGAGATACTCTCCTTGACTTAGTAAACAGGCACTGAATTTCACGTAAAATTATTGAAGCATGTCCTCTATGGCATGGCTTCTGTTTTAGTATATATACTATATACCTAGAAGACGATCATGTCTTTCACGTTAAAGATGTACTTAAGGTGCTTTTAAAAGTAGAGTTTTAACCTTCAAACTGTTACAATTTTCATTTTTTACTAGCTGACACTATCTGAAAGCATTTCACCTGATAATAAATCTGGAAAAGTTCCAATAAGACAGTAGTTGTTTGGAGTTCACTGCCTAAGCCACTATTGCTTCTTGAAGGCATTTAATCCTGTGTCTCTAAATACTCTAACAAAACTCCCAAAACCATAAAATACTTTATATAGAAATCCCTTTGTTCAAGGAGGTCACGTGTAAGGCTTCAAGAACATCATTTTCAATATTCTTTATTCAAATAGCCACTAATATATGTTTGGGTTGACTAATTTTACTGGATGGAGATGACCACTTGTAAAAAAACTTTTAAAACATAAATTTTAAATGCCAATGGCTATCTAATACTAGTTTTTATTTTTTAAAACATTTTAGAAATCATTATTTTTCAATTTGGGATTGAAGCCACATTCTACATATAAAAGTTTTTTTTTTTTTTAATGTTGTCTTGCTACTTGGTTGGGAGCAAAAGGCAGCCTAACTTTGTGGTAGTATCTCTATAAAGAAAGCCATGAGAGATAAAGCTATAGTTTCCTCTTTAGTGATATCATTCCCATTCAGCAAGTTTGGACTCTCCTGAGAAAATCTTACGTGCCAATTGTAAGTTTTTCTTTTTTCTTTTACTATAATGGAAACACATAAAATTTTAAGAGGAAGCAGGCTATTCTCACAGCAGTATTAAAAGCTTTAGGAGAATACCATAGGAAATTTGTTTTTGAGTGAAGTTGAAATTATCAGTAGGATGAAAGGAAGCTAAGTGTGCATATAGGAGATAAGATGTTTCCAAAAGTTTCAGAATTGTGGTATTCAGCATTAAATTCTACTCTGGAAAATGTTGAGCCTTTATCTGTAACTCATCACTATCATAGTTCTTTTATTCCTACATACTTTGCCTAAATCTGTTGGAAAGTTTTTTGGTTCTGTTAATATAGCATATACTCCAGTATTAGGAACATGCACTCTGACAAACTGAACACTAAAGAGTATACTTAGGGCAGAAAGATCAATCATTTTTATCTAATAAATTCTGTCAACAGATTACTGAATTTTTCCTTTAAAAAAGCATTTATTAAATCTTTATTTGTGCAAAGCAAGGGGATGAATCCATATGTTTTAAAGCCTCAGCATTGTGTGACTGATATTTTATATATAATATATATAACATATAAAATATATATAACATATAAAATATACATAATATATAATATATATTATATAATATATAAATATATATGCTAGGCAGTGGTGCTATGGTATAAAACATCTGAAAAACATTGGTTATCTGAAAATATTTGGTGTACTTTTTTTGGTAGTACAATACTGTAATACAGAGAAGACAGATTAAGCACAGTCTGTAAGTGACAAATTCTTATAATATGCCTGCTGGATGATGTGATGGAAAAACTTGGAACTGTTAGTGAAAACTGACATGGATACTTATAAAAAATTGGAAGTAAAAATACTGAAGTTTTCTGATGGCCTTATCTATATTCTTTCAAGACAGCTCCCATTCTGCCATACCAGGTAATATTTGTCATGGGTTATTTTCTTCATTATACAAAGAAAATGCTGTTTTACTCCCACTGGTAGATTTGATAGCAGTGTATTTGAGGTACTGTAATGTGTAGATGTTCACATACCTGATGAATATATGTAATTGTTGAGTAAATTAATGTTATGGAAAAATTCACATAGAAGGCACTTGAGTGGCACGTCAAAAACTGATCTTTGGTAAGAGCCAAATTAAAAAGAAAGTGCTTCATTTAGTTATTTTAAAATATTTTCATTTATTAATATTGAATGTCTCCAGATATATTAAGATGCTCCTCAAGCAGGACTTAAAAATGATAAATGTCATGACTAAAAAACTCTGCCTGTTTTTTGCTATTTGCCATTCAAAGTCCCTTTTTAATAGATGGCAAGTTTTCATATTAGTTTGTCAGTTTCATTCTTTTTAACTTATTTGGGGGAGGGGAGTGAAGGAAACTATATAACTAGTCACATTAGAGATTGTACAACCAGATGGTATTATTCTTCAAATCCACAAATTAACTTATCTGATAGCTGGTAAATTACTAATGCCCAGTATTTTCCAGTATCATTTTTTCAGTGTTCCTTCAAACAATAGGAAGATCTTGTATCTAACCCAGTTTAATTGAGAAACAAGATAAATGCTTGCAAAGTCCAGGGTTTTAATGTCTTCTACATCTGTTGTCTTTGAAATTAGTCATTTCTGTTCAGTACTGAAAATCCGTTGACAGTAACATTTACTGGGGAAAAAATGGAGTGAACATAACAAAAGAATTGATCAAATGCTGGGATTTGTCTTTACCTTTCAATTTTAAACCATGAGCCTGTTCTTTTATACTTCAATCAAAGATATAGGCTTGTCTAATGTATTTGTCACAACAAATTTGAAAGTCATAAGTAGTAAGATTTAAAAATAATTTTAAGTGGTCCATTGTATCTGAAAAGTATTATAGGTAATTGATAATATTTGAAAGTCATGTGAAGTGGTAAGTTCACAGATGATTTTTTATTTACTATAATGCTTAAGCTAGAATTGATGGAAGATATTTGGTAACAATGCAAAAATAAAAATAGATATGAAATTCCATGGAATTTGGAAACTTGCTTTTAAGAGGTGTTTGATTAAAGCAAAGTTTCTGTTGCACGTTTTTTAATTCATACCATTTGGCATAAAAAAGTTCATTGGGTAGTATGGCCGAAAGAAAATAGGTGGTGGCAATCCAGGTAATGCATAATAAGGAGAATACTGTCTCTCAGAGGCAAAGTATGGAGCAGGCTGATAAAAGCAAGTTACATTGTCTGTATTGGGTAGAATATTCTGTTCTCCTAGTACTTTCAGAGCCATGTAGGTAATCATATCGATTGTCTGCCTTCTTTCATGACCCATGAGGCAAACGGTGCTTTCATTCACAACTCTACGCAAGGTCATAAGGTAGTCATACTTGCTCTTTTCTTCACCTCTGAAATGGTTGTGGAGGTATGATTCAATCTTCTTTTGCTGTTCTCCTACATCAGGAAAATCAATGAAAAATCTAGAACACATGTAACGTTCCAGGGTCTTGATTTGTGCTTCACAAGCTGGCTTAAAGTCATGAACCAGCAAGTGGCTGTACTTCAGAAGGCCACCACCTCTAATCTCTTCGGGTTTTCTGGTAGATATAAGTTTGTATCGCAAATGCATCATTGCTTCCTGAAAATCTCCGTACATGCTTTCTGCTACCACAACAGGATAGGATTCTTGGGCTAGCTTAGCATTTTTGTCACAGTAGAAGTCTAACATGGGATCCAAAAGAATCTGAAAGGAATCTACACTGAACTCAAACTGTCGTCTGAGTGAATTCACAAATTTTAGCTCTACGTTCTTCCCAGTATTATTTGAAAGAGAGATGAGACTCCAACGGTCATGCTTATTGCAAACTTTGACCATCTTTTGCACGTAAGCCTCTTTCATGATCCTTAGGGTGATCTTTTCCTTTTTTACACCTTTTGGTAAAAAGTCAAGTAGACAACCTAGAACTATGTCCTTAACAACCTGAAATTCTTGATCATTTGGTAGTTCAACACCAAAAATAACATCCAGATCCTTATAGGTGATTCCATTGTGGCTTGCAAGTATGTAACTTGCAATGGAACCATTCAGTCGGGTATCTTTAACAATGATTCCTTGCTCTATCAGTTGATCTTTTACAACATGAATGATATGTTTTGGTTTTACCTCTAATGTGGGGAAATTCCCCTTTCCGTGAATTGGAATTACTTCATCTAACACTCGATCCAGTATTACAACTTGATCCCAAGTGAGATTGCTGAATCCGATTTCAGACATTTTGACGTCAATAAGTCAACTGGAAAGCGAGCAGAATATTGGGAGGGAATGTTAGCATCTTGAAATCAGTGTTATACCCAAAGCATGTGAAAAAGTTAAAAATAACTATAACTGAACAACAATAAATAAAAAAGGGAGAAAAAAGTTAAAAATAGACTTACTCAACATACAGTAAATCAAACTAATACTAGGAAGTAAATTATCAATATATCTAATTGTGGTTAAATCTATAAGTGAAATAAAGCCACTTTGATTACAAAATTGGTAGATGCATTAGTGCATGCAAACAGACATTATCAGGGATTTATTAGAATTATAATTATTTTTGATGTAAAATCGTGGCCTTTTTCAATCTTTATTCATGTAAATACTATAATGTTTGTATTTGCCTGGTGTTAAAATTTTATTCATGAGATGATCATAATACATCACTGAGGTTAATTGTCATGAGTTTAAAGTCAGATCAAGACAGCATGTTTCTATGTTAGATCCAACTGACCAAATGGCATGATGATGGCATAATGTTCAAAAGCAATATATAACATCTTTAATTCAAGAGCATTAGAGAACTCATTTTATATATATTTCACAGAAAATGCAAGTTAGATTTTTTCAAAAATAGCCTTGAAAATAAGCATTATTATGAAAATAAATATGTGACACATTATTATTTGTGATAATATATGTGTGGCACACACACAAACACATATACACATCTAGATATATATGAGCAGAAAAAACATAATGAAATGCATGTTGCAATGGAATAAATATAAGTGATTTATATTGATCTGTAATCTAGACACACCTTCACCATGTTCACCTCTATTAACATGGATTATTAAGATCTGAGAGCAGTGTTATGCTTCTTTGGCACACCTACTATTCATTTTCACATGATATACAATATAATATAATAAGTACGAATTTCAAATATGACATTAAAATAATAAGGCTTGTCTTCATGTGTGGAATATGGCTCAAGATTTCAGTTATACCTCATATAGCAGAATTAAATAAAGACAAAAGATTGCAAAACTTAAAATTAATTAATTTGAATTGCTGAAAAAAAAAGCATGGTTAAATATAAACTTTGGATGACTGTCATATTAAGACTGGGAAGACTCCGACAAATCCATCCATATTGCTTATGTTTCTGTCTCAGGTGTAGTATAGTTCTGAGTTACTGAAAGTGTGTTTACTGAAGATGAAGTACAAAGCTGTATTTTTATGGACTAAAACCTCAGATTTAAGACAGAAACCCTTCAATAACTTTCCACACAAACCCAAACACATGCACAAAATCTGAAATTTCTAATTATTCTTCTCCGAATGTAGATTATCAGCAGTATTTCACTATTTGGCAGAGCATATACTTCTTGTTCTGACTCTCTGCCTTCTCCCAATTTATCCTTAAAGCGATCACTTTTTCCATCTAGCTTAACTAATATTAGTGTGCCGATAATGTATCAGACTACAGTAAACACTGAAATCAAAACATAGTGGTTTCCTTTCTTCAACAGGATAAATTCACTGAGAATGCAAGGCAAAACAATTGTGTTTCCAAGATTTCACAAAGCACAGCAAATAGATGTTTTTAGTCAATATAAAAAGGTATAATTGTTCTCCCTACTGTCGCCCTCCTGACTATGGGAGGAAAATAAAAAGTTAGCTACTGTTTTCATATTTGTGTTAATATTAGAACACATTTCCAGAGAGAATGAGAAAAGCTTAAAACTTACATAGGAGGGATTACTTTCAAGGAGGTAATGTAGTTCAATTAGTAAGTTGACTCAGTGGATCCTTCAGTGAGTCTTCCAGTGAACATAGGAATTTTCTCCTTGTTACTAAATAAGGTCATGAATCAACCAGGGAGACTGCAGGGAGCAGAAACGGAACAATGCAGTTCTTTGATAAATATTATATACAAAGATAGGAATTTTCTTTTTATCACTAAATAAACCAACCAGAGAAATTGCAGGGAGCAAAACAGCAACAATAGAGTTCTTTGATAAATATTATATACAAAGATACAAGTAACATGATGAACCCTGGCCAGCAGTCCTACAAATTATACAGAGAGAGATGATTTTAGCATATATCAGGATGACATAGAGGCTTGTAAACACATAGATTTTTGGGTCTCACCTCCAGAATTTCTCATTCAGGTCAGAGGTGGGCATAAATATTTGCATTTATACCAACTGTCCAACTTCCCAGGTGATGCTGATGATGCTGATTAGGGAACCACACTTTGACCGCCCCTAATCTAAAGGACACTGAGAAAGAAAAGGAACAGTTGTCCCAATAGCAGTACCTAGTCCCTCATAATTTGGCTATTTCTATTTAATTTAAAGTATTACATTGAATATTGTAGATCATTCTAATCAAAGTGAATTATTTTCCCATTTTTAACAGCCTGATATTATTTTCTCAACTAAAAATTAAAACTAATAGAAAGTCTTTATAAAGTTTGCATTAGGATTCTAAAATATAAGCCTAACTGGTACCAGTATCTATCATAAATGATTGTGTGTGTGTGTGTGTATATATATATATAGACAGATATACATCTATATATCTATAAATACCTATAGATAGATACAGATATATCTGTCTGTTCAGAAAAACTCCAGCCATTGTTAATATAACGAAAATGGTTTGTGTGACATCAATGTCACCTGGCAGCCAAGGAGAGTGGACTGGAATGCACATGCATGAACAATGACAACTTCACTGTCCTAGTCAGTGGCAGTGGTAGATGCCTTTGAGTGAGCATGTGTACTGTGTGGTTGTGGCATTCAAAATGACTGAGCAAGTAGAGCAATGAATCTGCATCCAGTTTTGCATTAAGCTTGAACGTTCCTCTGTGGAAACTATTTGGATGACTCAGAAGGCCGTAGCTCTGGGCAACTGGTGACTGGCAGCTTCATCACTACAACACATGCGCTTTAGTTTCCCAAAACTAAAATTACCTTTGAAAGGGGAGAGATTTCAGACTGTTGATGAGATTCAGGAAAATACAACAGGGCAGCTGATGACGATGGGGAGAACTGTGTGAGGTCCCAAGGTGCCAACTTGGAAGGGGACTGAGGCATCATTGTCCTAAGTACAATGTTCCTTGTATCTTGTATCTTACTCAGTGTGTGTCTCTATTTTTCATATTACATGGCTGGATACCTTCTGGACAGAATACACACACACACACACACACACACACATATCTATTTAAACTTGATGTCATGTAATCAAATCTGTCTTGGACTGTAGATTCTCAGTTGCAACACCTTGAGGCAGACTATCTATATCTGTCATACTAATTTATGCCTGAGATAGCTCAAGTTTTTAAAAATGAGATGGCTGAAGTTTTTTTACATTCATTTTATTTATTTTATTTTTTTCATCACTGTTTATCCCCTCCATACTCTCTTCTACCTCCACCCACCTCTGCCTACCCCCTGCAATCAGCACACTGTTATTCATGTCCGTGAGTTCTTTCTCTTATTTTTTCCCTTTTTGCTTGATCCCTCCACCCCAATCCTCCCTCCCCCAGAGCTGTCAGCCTGCTCTCCATCTATGAGTCTGTCTCTATTTTGCTTGTTAGTTTTGTTTGTTTATTAGATTCCACACACAAGAATAAACTCTTAAAGACTTAAAGACTTAAATGTTAGACTTGAAACCATAAGAATCCTAGGGAAAAAACAAACATAGGCAATAAAATCTCAGAAACTACTTCCAGCCAAGATGGAGGCATAGGTAGATACACTTTGCCTATCGCACAACCAAAAGGACAACAACAAATTTAAAAACAAAAAATAAGCAGAAGTACTAGAAAACTTAACTGTATGGAAGACATTTAAAAATGTATGTAAGTTAAAATGGAAGTTAAAAATCTCTGAAGAACAATTTTTTCCTTTTCAATGAGATTCATTCGTTCTTTATTCCACCAAAATCTGAGTAGGTTTTGCTTACAAGGAAACATATGAAAAAGCCTGTGTTTAAAGTCTAATTGCAAATGCAAAATATTTTAAAGGAAATTCATTCTCTATATAAGAACTAGTATTAACATTAAGCTCTGTGGGCAACCTATAATAACATTCTTTTAATGAACACCATAATCACAATGTGTTTATCAGTTGTTCTAAATAGACATCTATTTTATAATTTGTTCAAAATATCTAGACTAAAAGTTGCTGACTAAAAATAAAGTATTTGTCTATTCCTCCTTGTGAGCCTTTCTTTTAGCCCATTAAATTCAAAAGATTTAATTACAAAGCAGTTTTAAAATATATTTTCAGTTCAAATATGGCAAAGGATGAATGTTTTAAATAAAAAAGTATAAATATTTAAAGGAAAGCTGTATATTTGCAAAGTTTTTAAACATTCTAATATTTTATGTATTGTTGAATTCAGAATTATAATAATGTTGTGTGATATTTTAACAGATTTGTAAAAGCAAGAAGAGGTCATAGGAAGATTAAGCTATATGAATGCTTATGTGAAGTTTTCATTATTGTATGCATATAATTTTTATATGATTGACCACAATGTTTGAGTCCTAGAATAATACTTATATCACAAAACATTATATCTCTTATGCCACAATGCATTGTTAATACTACATGTCTAGAACATTTAAAGATTCAGCAGGGAATTCGCAATACCAGTTCACTTTTAGCATTAGTCAATTACAAATTTGGTTTTGAAGAATGAGCCAATTCACTATTGATATTAAGCAAAGGGAGAAAAATTGGTACAAATGTAATAGAACAATAAAATATTTAATAAAAAAATAAATTTCTCAAAACTGAATACTTTCCAAAAAAAGTCCCAACTTAGGTTAATTCAAAAAACTTTTAAAGTTGCAAATATTCACTCATCCAGGATTCTACTAATGAAATGAGTGAGATCATTTTCCAAATTTATAGTCTCTTACAAATGTACATCAGATTGTGAAGGCTGAAAAAAAGGTGTTTCAATTTAAATTTTCTTAATTGTAA